GCGGGAGATGACGAGGGACTGAACGAGTATCTGGGTAGCCTGTGTGGAAAGAAATGGACGTATCCTTCTGATATTAAACAGGAGAAACCGACAAGAGCGGGAAACGTTGGCGATATATGGGGAAAAGGACAGACGATTGTCCATGGTAACCCCAAGGTTGCGAGCAGTAACCGAAGGACGGATCAGGGTGGACTTAAGCACCTTCCCACAACATCCAGCAATCCCCCACACTGTGTACTAAGCTTGTGCTGATGATACTCAGATCCAGGAGTATTCCAATCCATTCTCCATACTCATATGATGCAGAATTTTATTTTATTATTATAGCCCTCTGGGAGGATCACGTGCAAACCAGAAGTTCTGCAATTCATGTCCCAGGCTACTGTTGTTGTAGGAGAATGGGGTGGAACCCCCAACATCTGTGTCAACATATTCTGCCAATGACCTTCACTTGATTCCCAGTGGCTTTTGTGCTATCATTTTGGCAGGGGAGCCTGATCATTGATGGGGACCCTTGACCATCTGCGATGAAGATCCAATTACAGGCATGAGGTACAAAAGAGCACTTAAAAGACTGGTTTCTCCAAGTTCTGACCACGAATATTTGCTTGGCACAAATTACCTGCCTTTTTTGATAGTCTGGGCTAATCTTATACTCTGCTTATCTTAGGTCATGGTTACATCATAGTCTCTTCCATTTTTGAGTAGGCCCCTTGATCCAGCTCACAATCGACCCTCACAACTTTCCTCTGCATCAGTTGTCTCTAAACTTGCAGACATCCCTAACAGCCCAGTCTATCTATCTATCTATCCAATGCATCATCTCATACTTTCAAACCACACAGCACAAAATACTAAATAGCCACTTATAGGCTGAATAGAGTATAAATTTACTTAATATATCTGAACGATACATTCTCACTGTTATGTTTGATACGTCTGCTTTCAATGTCACTATATGGCTTGTACATGTCTGTAGATGATGCCTGAACCATGCATTTGTTCCACAAAATCATTTAATTTAATTTCATACCTTCAGTTCACTTGACTGCGCCAGCCCTCTCTGTCTGTTTGTGAACTGCCACTTCAGCTATGCAATGCATTTCCATACCACCGGAAAAGTCAGTTTGAGGAGCAAGAGGAACCAGCATCCTCCAAATGGGACCCGTGATTCAAAGGTCACAAATCACCAGTATAACCAAGCAAGTTGCCTGCGGCTGTGGATTCTTCCGGAAAGCTGTGCTCCCTGAGCTCTCGCGTTTTGTCGGACTGTGCCCTTTAGCTCCCCCTGGTCTTGCAGCTGTCTTGGGTCTGTAGGTTATTTTGGAGTTTAAGACACAAATAGCAGCAGTTTGCACACCCCGTGTGCCTTTGTGTATCTGTGTGCAGGCCATTGTCAGGGGAGCTGCTGGGATCAAACATATGTATATTTATCCAAGTGTATAAACATATGTTCACACAGGGATGTGAGAGTGTCAGTGCTTCATATGCGGGTCTTAGCACAAACATTCTAGGAGTCGCTCTACCTTCGATTGATTGCTGAGTCACACAAGATTTATACTTTGTTTCTTAGAACTTATCCAGAATCCAGGATCACAGCCTAAACTCTCTGAGGACCCGATCCTCTCTATCAGTGTCATAGCAACACATTTACACTGTGACCTTGCACTGCACAAGAAGTTATAGAAAATGAATAAATGGATGGATGGATGGATGGCTATTTGCCACATGGAAGGAGAAGCCTGTTGCATGAAGTACACAGTGTCTGGGGTGATCACTCTCTTGGCGGGTGATTTTACACCTGGAAGCCCAGGTGAACTTAGACATCCGAGTAAGAGCCTCACTCTCTGTGCTGACTTTCTCCACTGTTACCTTTCCACCATGTATGCACTGGAGTCATTAGCAAACTCCACAGGCAGCGTCCATCTAGTTCAGACAGTGACTGCAAAATTTCAAATTTACATGGAGTCATGGGGTGGCATGATGGTGCAGTGGTTTGGCATGATGGTGCAGTGGTTAACACTGTTGCCCCACACCTTTGGGAGCAATCTTCAGGTTTGCATGTTCTCCCTGTCTCGTCATGGGGTTTCCTCTGGGTTCTCTGGTTTCTCCCCACAGTCCAAAAACAGGCTGAGGTTAATTGGAGTTACCAAACTGCCCGTAGGTGTGCATGTGTGAGTGAATGGTGTGTGAGTGAATGGTCTGTGAGTGAATGGTCTGTGAGTGTGCCCTGCAATGGGTCGGCGCCCCATCCTGGGATGTTCCGCTTTGCACCCATAGGCTCCGGATCCCCTACCACCCTGAATAGGACAAGGGGTTACAGAAAATGGATGGATGGACATGGAGTCATTGGGAAACACACAATGGGTATCCATCCATCTTCAAGCACACATTCTGGTCAAGGTTGCAGGGGGGTTGGAGCCTATCCCAGGCAGGAGGGCAAACTAGATGGCATGTAGCCTGTCCCATCCATCGCGGGGCACAAACACAAACACAGTCACACACAACGGTGTCTTATTAAAAATCAACCATATACACACTAATTCATGAGTATATCGTCATATACAATTTAACGTTTTATATGTTGAATGGATTCTGATTATAAAGACATCAACAAAGAACTATGAAGTAGGTTTTATTTGACAAGTACGTTTCTGTCAGTTTTGCAATTTCACTGCTGACAACCGGCAGCAGGAAGAGTGTAACTACGTTTGTGAGGTTTGGAGAGTACCGCTTTCACTATAATGGCCTACGGATTGTCCTGTACAGGCGCACTTGTTTCCTGACGCGGAGCTTTTAAATCATATGTCGATTTCACGAGACAGTAGGCCAAATGATTTTTGAAATTCGTTTGAACTGATAATTGACTTGAATGCAAAATAAAACTGGTTTCTTTTCTCAAATAATGAAAATCAGTAAAAGGAAAAGTCTCAAACCCAAATTGCGGTCTTTAAAGTATTTAATTCTTCCCAATGAGGTTTTCTTAAATTTCATGACATAAAATAGACGAACACCAGATGGCGCTGGAAGGTTTAATTTGAAATACGGCAGCCTTGGTTTCAAAACAATATAGACGCTTCAATATTATGGAAACAAATGCTAAAATGCCATAAGAAATGCAAATGCTGCCTATTAGCCAAGAAAAGCTCGATTTAACGAACCATGGGCAATTTTTGTACTACTTATGAGCCGCTACTTGCAGTGCCACTTCCTACACCTGTACTTCAGACGAGATTCATTACGTAGAAACATGGGCTACTGTGTCAAAATTATAAAAACTACAAAGACAAATAAATAAAAAACACATTAACTTAATACATTAATTTTGTTCTTACTGTGTGTTAACCTTTTAATAATTCAATGTCTATAGGAGTCGTGTTTAAGACAAAATTCGGGATTTGCGCTAAACACGCAACTTCTGTACGTCCTTAAAATATGGCTAACTACGAAATAGCAAATTTTGAGCACTAAACTGCAACATAAATCGATATAACCCACTATTGATGTTTTCAGAAAACTATAGCTCTGATTGATCTTGCTAAATAGTACAAACGCGTAAATTAACAGATGTTTTCAACGTCATCCTGTGCAAACTGTAAAATATACGTCGAATTCCTTCATAATAAATTTACCTATAGCCTACTTAATACATTTCCATTTTACAGAACTAATTTTATTGGAAATCACATGAAAGTACTTCTAAAATTTGAAAAAAATCTTAAATATTTTAAAACTATACCTTTTAATATTTATTCAGAAAAATACCATAAGAATGAAATTGGGTTACGTCTATACAAAATATAACAAGAGCAACATAGTAAACGAAATTCGATTCTTTTGCGCAGATTAATACAACCGCGTCAGCTAAACTGCAGAATTATAAAATACCAGAATCATGAGCCGTAGTGCAACACACTCTGATTGGTATTTAATTAAACTTATCGTACATGTGTAAGTTTAACATTGGTTGATCGTTGCTCCGTCTCCTCTTCCCAGACTGCATTGATCACCACGTTACGTCAGTATCGATAACTTTACCGATCCAAAGTCAAGTGCAAAAGCGCAGTACACAAAGCACCAGGACCTCACAAATGCGAGTGCCACTAAATTTCCTCTTATTCTTCACCGAGACCACCACCCTACGCTGGGAAATCTCCGCTGCGTTTCTCGACGCTTTCAGTTCAGTTTTGACAAGTTTTATTTTTTTTTAAATCGGTGCGTATTGATGATTAAACTGTTTTTTTCAGAACGAATCCAGGCCATATATTTAGTCTAGCCAGTGAGAAAAAAAATCTCTCCTATATCCACAAGATGGCCGCCGATGTGGGATCGATGTTTCAATATTGGAAGAAATTTGATCTACAGCTGCTTCAGGTTAGTGCCACGATTTACCTTTGGGGAGAAAGGAGATGCTGTTTTTCTATGAAACCGTGTGAAATTTGTATTTGGAATAAGTTTTAGGGAACTGTGGCAGCGGGGTTAGGCTGATAGGTATCTGAAATTGATCCTCTCCTGCCTTTGTTCGGTTCAATCATCGATAAGCGGCGGGGTGAGCATAGGAGTCGGGACTGACGCTCCAGCGCGGTCCGCGTTCAGTGCGGCGGTTCGTGCGTTTTGCACCTTCTGCGAGTCGTTCTGTTTTAGCTGTGCCGATTTGCCAGAGCATTGTAAACTTTTATTTTTTCACGCGACGGCTTGTGGGCTGGACTTTTAAAAATATATTTTAAGAGATTTATCGATATTCCTTACGCAGTCAGGTGTAGGTCATGCACTTGGAGTTCACTCGAGCTTGCTGTCAATTCACTAGGATCTGTGTTTTCTGTTCTCCGTGTGAAGGCTGTATGTGGGAAATAACTAATTGTTGGTATTTTCATTTAGGAAAACGTTTCATTTAGATGTAAACCGTTTGATTTATTCCATTACCATATAAAGATAAAAGAGAATACTAAGATTGTCATTGGTTACGGTAATCCTTTGCAGAAAGATGCTTAACAACATTAGTTTATCTACGACAATTGGCGTTGATGTTCACATAAAGATGTTTTTCTATCCTTGGGAAGTTTTTGGGTGTGCTTTTTCAGTAAGTCGTCTGCTGTCGAGTATAATAATACCCTAACCTCACATTTCATATTTTAACGTTCATTTTGTGTCTAATCTTCAGGTACGTCCGTTTAAATACGGAAACTTTTATGATACGGATTATTTAACAGTAACGTGCCGTGCAATAACTGAATCTGGCGCACCTTTGCGTTTCGAAGGGATGCGGTAACATTTCTCGCAGTTTCGGAGAGTCTGCAAAGCATCTGGCTTAAGGCATGCATACCCTGTCGCTCCTTTCGTTCCCTTCGTTGCGCTTTTACCGGACTCTCCGAGGAGCAAAAGGCACCCAGTCAGGGACTGCGCAAATAATTTGTTCCCCGCTAATGTTTGTAAATCAGGCCCCGGGCAAGACTGATGCTGCGTTGCGCAATGACTGACAGGAGACTGGCAAAGCCGCCATTCACGGAGAAGACCGGCCGGCGGATCGGGTGGGTGGGTCTAGAGACGGGCTTCTCAGCCTTGAGGTGGCTGCCGGGTGACCAGTTTGTTACCGATGCGCTTGTAGCATGTTCGTAGGGCCATAGAGTATGCGTGTGAGTACTGGATTATTGGACCTGGGGCTTGACATCCGGATTCATCTGTGTTATGGGTTTCATAAATCTGTTTACTTTAAGACTGATAGTCCTAGTTTTTATTAATTGATAAATAGGATACCAAAGGCAGTGAACAAATAAAGAAAGCGTGTTATATGATGAAGAATAATTCATTAGAATTAAGACTGATTTCATCGATTCTAAGCAGAAATTCTGGTGCTTACAGCAGCAAGAACGTACCGCACAGACGAACATACCAATAGTGCAAACAGTGGTACAAGAGAAGGTTACACATAGTGGGAAGAAGTAAACATAGTGCAGACTTTAAAAATGCACAGTACATAAAAGGAATATCCCGAAAACACAATATTGTAGCATTGTCGAAATAAATACTTCCATAATAACAATAACGATAAATTAGTGATGGTAATAGGCCTACAGAAAGCACCTGATTTGTATTATTACAAAGATGGGTCACTTCCTGACGTGTTATGGCTGGGGGTGGGAATGGCACGTCGGCAGCTGGCGTTGTGGTGTCTGATATGGCAGCAAGCAGGAATAAGCCGGTGGCTAGATGTTTTAGATTGTTCCGTTTTGCCAGAATCCTCTTCCCTGCTACTGCCTTCAGATGGTCCAGGGTCAGTCCTGTGATTGAGCCGGCCTTAAGCCGTTTGGCGTGGCCTGCACTGATGCTGCCTCCTATAGGTCACTGCCTAGAAATGCGTACTGGCCACCACGGTCCTACATATGTCCTGCATGGGTATGAAACAACTGCGTTGTATGCACGCTTTTTTTGGGGAAATAACTATTTTTAAGTATGGCACCATACAGAAGATCTGGGGAAATTAAATAATGAAGAAAATTCGTTAAATAGCCTATTACGCACGCACGCGCTTATATTTTACCAGAAATATTTCATGAGTATGAAATGTGTAATCTTGATGTCATTACGCTACATTACCTCTACGTTTCACATAAATTTTAAAATTCGACGACGCGAAAAAATAGGCTTATCCTACTTGCGAAATTATAAGGTAGCAGTTCATATCAATTGGCCTGTATTTGGAAGCCGATAAAATGACTACCTCACCTGTTACTGGTTTTGAAATTATCTTTAAATTACACGTTTTATGGCCGTTGTAAACAGAGTGTTGTAATAAGGAGAATTAAGTGTTCAAATGTCTGTAAGCACTGGCGACAGGGAATCGAAGCTAAGTCTGTCTTTATTAAAGCGCAGTAATTCGCAGCTCTTCCAATGCAAAGGCAAGGAAGTTTCGATAACTGGTACTTAATTCGAACACATTTTTGGTCATGCGAATTTTTGAGATAAAAATATCATGACGCAGACTTTAGTACAATTAACCGCCAGTTCTGATGCTTGCTTTCCCAGCTATTTGTTTATGTGTACGACACGCGGAGAAGCTCGGATGGGGCCGGATCCTATCACACTAATGATAGGAAATTTCGAAAAGAGAAAACAAAATACAGTACGAGACAAGAGAGGAACTGTCAGAGCCAGCCCTCCTTCCCCCAAGGATTTAAGTTGTCTGTAGCCGATCTTGTCCGGGTGTTTGTTGAAAATCAATACGGGACTGTGGAAGTCTAGATCTCCATTACCATGGTGGTGTCCGCGGTCTGCGACGCTGGTTTTTATGTTGGGGCATGATATAGAGGTATCAGCGGTTGTGGTATGAAACCTATTAAAAAAGCAAAACCTTATTTTCCTGTGTTATTTTGCCTTTTATACATTCGCCGTTAAATGCAACTGTTGTCCATATTAATATGTACACGCATACATAGACCTATATATACACATAGCCTACATACACAAATATATATTTTCATGCGTAATTTTTTAATGTAAAGTTGGTAATACAAGCGACGCCTGCCGCCTTCCCAATGCACTAGTCAGTTTCTCTTTGAAACGCAATGTAGGCTATTTATTAATTTATAATAAATAATGCACTTCTGTACGACTTTCCTGCGCCCGTTGTTTCTCATCGGAACATAAAGACGCTATTAAAAACAAAGTACGGACACGCAGCTCGCTAAATTTCATTCCGGGAAATAATTAAGTTAGAAGTGGGGCAGCAGGTACGCCAGGTAGGCTACGTCTGTCCACACTGGCCGCCATGTTGTCCCTCCCGAACTGAAGGATTTGCTCATTGTAACCAGCGGGGACAAGACGTCACGGTGTCACCTCCCCGGGGGGATGGTGGCGGCTCCAGTCTACACGGGCATCTCTGCGGCGGGAAAACACCAGCGAAGTCACCGCCCCGCGGCTTCAGCTTGCTCCCGAAATGTCAAATTGGCTGTGAAAACGGGCTTTGTTTTTCAGCCTTGCGGGAAGCCGCGAAGTAAAGGCCAGGCAGCAGGAGTAGTCATGGATACCGTCAACAACGTGCGGCAGGGCTTCCCTGGGAGACCGCACACACGCGCACGTACAGTGCGCGCGCCCATGCACTGCACACACACTTGGACTTGTTCTCATTCGGACCAGAGCAGGCGAGTGTGTCTATGGAAAGCAGGACACCCACCTGAGTGTGTCTCTATGCCTGCACAAGTGGCCTATTTAACACCACCTTGTATGATTGGCTCCCCAGTTCCCGCGGTGACAGACAGGGCCAGATCGAGGTCCCAGGGCTGTCTGTGTCCTCTCCTTCTGGTGACCCTGCCCCCGGAAGGAGGGGGAGGGGGGGCAGTTACCCTGGTAATGGAGTTTTTGTGGCATGCTGGCCTCAATGCATTGTGGTAAATGTGTGTACCAGCATGCAGGTGTCTGACACTGGCGAAGGCCAATGTTTACATGAAAGACATGGCTGTTTTCATCCAGACCATATAACCTGCTACACAGGATGGCTGGATGTGTTTGCTAATTAAGCTGCAAATTTAAATGGTTTCCCAGGTAAACATCGGGTACAAGGTTGTAGCTTTAAGCATATGGTTTAATTAATTCTTTAATTAGGCAATTTTGCATTATAAGTATCAGATAAGGTCTCCCATCTAGATCATTACCTCTGTGAATACCGTCAACAATGTTCGTATGACCTGGTAGGGATACCTCATACGTCAGGGAAGAAACCTGTAACTTTTCTAGTATCTCCCTTAACCAGTCATCATGTACGTTATCAGATCACTCTTTCTAAGCCGCATGTTTATAGGTTCTCCGGGTCTCAGGCTCCGGGGTAATTCATTACTCTTTTATTGGCTGGCTTGAATTAAGAAACAAGGTTGATCATTCCTGAAAAGCGATGAATTGGAAGGTTATATAGCTAAGTATTTTTTTAGTGGTGCTTTCCAGCTGAGTTCTTTCCATAACTGCCCCCCCCCCTCCCCTTACAACACACAATATCCATGGTAACTTCATGATCTAAATCTTGTCCCTCCTTTGTGTGTCATGGCTGAACCCTGTAAGTGCTCAGGACCTGGTGATGCGTGATGTGTGGGCTGTCAAAGGGATGCCGTAGAGATGGACCCCCCCCCCCACCAGATCAGTCCCACAGCTCCCCGCACCTGCAACCGCAGCCTTTGTGGTCAATAATGATGTTAGAGCTATAAATGAGAATTGTAACGTATCTCTGCCTTATTTGTTAATTAGAGTTTTCTTTCGGTATTTTTGTGATCCAGACTTTTTAGTGCAGGAAAGTATTTTTTCCTGCTTCTGTTGGTCCTACTCTGGCTGCCATCCTTCCGGAGGTAAACCTCAGCCTTTACCAGCGACCCTGAGGCGTTTCGGGTGCT